GTTTTAATTGGTATTATATTGCGGCGATCGGCGAGCACGGAGACCGAAGCCTCACTCGACCGTGTCTCGGGAGGCGTGGGGTTTGGTCCGAGGCCACTCGCAGTCATCGTCGAGGGTATAGTCCGGAACGCCGGTCGACGTGACGTCTCGTCGAAATTCCGGAGCGGTCTTCTCGTCGCGGGGCGCGCCGGAGGTCGACGCTACGACGTTCCCGGAGGGGTCGTCGTCGTCGTCGGGTATTTGACGTGCATCCGGAGTAGAACGAGGGCACGCGTCGAACCGTCGAAAGTGCGCAAGAAATGAGATCGCGTAAATAACGGCAGATTAATTTCGTCGACACTCGTACGTATAAAAGTGCAAAGTAAATAAATAATACGTATTTTTTTTATGGGAATTAGCCCACCCGGGCACGGGTCACCGACCCACATCGGGGCGAAAATGTAATAATAATAATAATTGTTGAAGTTACAGTGTTCATTTTTGGTGGATATCAACGAAATATGATGCGAGAGGCTCAGACGACGACACAAACGACGACGCTCTCTCCGGTATATTTTCGGGACCGTCCGTAAAAACGAAACCAAAACACGCGTGCGCATTCAAAGTGGCGCATTATTGCACAAGTAAAATAAAACATATTGACATAAATATGGGGTAACCTAGTTTATATGTAACAATAATACTGAAGAACCTAAAAGAAATACAAAATGGAAAAAAAAATCAAAAGTGAGGAACAATAGATTTATGTTGTGTTGTCAATAGTAAGAGAAACAATCGAGACAGAGAGTCAGACGAGCGACCCGGGACTCGGTCACAATTTTAGGGATGCCACGTAGCAGGAAGATCTACCACGGACGACACATTACGCTTCCAATATTGTCTGCGGAGGTGGTATCTCCCCGTTTGGTGGCTGCCTAAGTATGTAAGATTTTCCAATGGAAAGTGTATGTTTGGCAAATGTATCCAGGTCTTTAGAGAATGTACTCAGATATTTGGGTTAGGTGTCAAGGGTTCATGTATAATTTGCATGCCTAATTGACTATGTATATTTTTTAACCTTAATTTTTCATTTGCAGTCACCCGACGGGAGTCAGAAACGTCATTTTTGTGCGGACCGGCGACTCGACGGACCCCGGCCGAGGACGCCGCTCGAACCGCGGGTGAGAATGTCGGACGACGCCGTATTGTAATGTTTATATCGCAGTGTACGGTATTTACTTAATGGTTCTCTGAAGAATAGGAATGCGTATGTGGCGTGCCTCGGCGTCTCCGTAGGAATTGCGTAGAGTAAGTGGAAGGTTTTTAAGGGAGACGAGAATTTATTAAGCGGCGCGTCGTCGACGAAATATCGAAGGAAGTTTTGACCGGTTACCGAGAGGAAATAAGACGGGAATTTACGAGTAAAAGAGTAGTAGAACGTAAAGATAACGAGGGAGAAATGAAAATGCGACCGACGACGAGACTCGGGTGCCATCGAAAATGCGTAGAGGGACGGACATTACAAGTGTTATAACGAGAGTACTTAATTTAGCATAGAGATATAGAATTGAAGGTGTCATATCTGGTCTAAAAGTGTTGGATACAATATGAAAAGTATTATTAAAAAATGGGAGTTTAAGCCAAGGGTTAGGGTGCTGCTGGCACTTCCCCCTCCCTTCCTATTGGGATAAATCGAGAAACAAGATGAATTCTCCCCACCCCCTCCTCCACAAAGGGGAGACCAGATGGACGTCACCTGGGTGTAAGGGTTAAGAATGTAGTAGCTTGTAATGGAGGATGAGGTATATGTATTTATGTCCTATGTTTTATACTGTATTGCAAGTAGGCGTTATTGTATGCACATTGCGGGTCATAATAGGAACGCGGCACGCCGGAGGCGGGTACACGGGACGATCCCTCGGAACAGAAGCCGAAAGTTCGTGGCGTGGGTATATGCACTTCCCTTAAAAGTGTAATTAGGGATCCTCCTCAGACACATTGCACCATTTGAACGCAGACGTAAGATTATCCTCATCGCCGTACACGTCCCGAGGAGACGAGGCGTATCGAGTTTACGCGGATGCATACGAGACGTTTCCTTTCGAGTACGGGTAGTTCTGCTATAATGCGATAGTTGTGTTCTTGTAAAACATCGTGTTATAGAAATTCGTGTAATAGAAATGACAGGGCTTATGGAGAAAATAGGGTTAGGTGCAGATTACTCCAAATCGACAAAAATTTCGTAGTACAGTCTAAATAAATGTTACATTGATATCTAATATTGAAATCATACAGTAAATGTTACACTTGACCTTGAAAAAATCTGAATATAACTTGATGGGGGAGAAGATTGATGTTGAGGAGTCATGAAACATCAAGCTTTTCTTCGAGTGTTATAGCCTTTCTTTTATGATCACCAGAGTGCTTCCCAGAGATATTCTTCTTTTCCATAGTCACAAAATTGGAGAAACAGTAATCACCGAGGACACTTAAAAATTTCACACGTGTTTCAAACAAAGTGTGGAGTAAACAGAGCGCGCGGGTCTAAAACGCTATGTATTTTGTTTTTCTCTTATTTAAAATTTTACATATACTGTAGAGGTATACTGTATACATAAATATTACATAAATTATTTGTGCAATTCTTCACAAACAAAACACATAAATCAATTGAACTTGCGATGTCGAACGTGAACTGTAAACACTGCATAACCCTGCGCCAAGCCACAATGTAAAGTACACTTTAAACGCTACTTATTTTGTTTTTCTCTTTTATTTAAATTTTTACAATTTACATATTCATCTTATGCTACAGCGCCCACAAAACACGAGAAACGTTCGAGTCCCCCAGTAGAGATGTCCGTTCTCTATCCACTCGAGGATGTGTCGGTCGTCCGTTTTCTTTTTGTGTACTCGCTCGGGGACTCGAGTTTATAACACAGGATGATAAGGGAATTTGAATTTATTTGTTGATTTATTTATTTATAATATACTGTAATATATTAAATATGCTGCAAGTATTTTCTTTAATTTATATACTTTTTTCTGGAAAAAGGGAGGCTACCATTATACCCGGTAATGTACATTTATGGCGATCGTTAAGGACCAAACTCCGAATCCGTGACGTGACTTCCGTTCATCATTTATGTCCTAAATTTACCAATGTGGGTAGTTTCAAGAATTAACGCAGTCATTTACCGAATATTCTTTGCCCAAAAATAAATTTCAAATGAATTATTTATAGGAGATAAGTATTATGATCAGTAAATATACCGATATGCATTACCGACCACAAGGACGGCTAAAAATAGGCACAGACGGTCACAGTCGAGGTCACTTTCCCTTTGTTGTCACTGTAGGACCTTGTGAGTGGTTTACTGTATACATAAATATTACATAAATTATTTCTGCAATTCTTCACAAACAAAACACAAAAATCAATTGAATATGCGAAGTCGAACGTGAACCGTAAACACTGTGTGATGTAAAGAGAGCGCCGGTGTAAAACGCTATGTAATTTGATTGTCTCTTTTATGTAAAATTTTACAATTGACTTATAATATATAGGTATACTGTATACATAAATATTACATACATTATTTCTGCAATTGTTCACAAACAAAACACATAACTCAATTGAACACGCGATGTCGAACGTGAACCGAAGCCATAACAATCGTTCGAGTGGAATCGCGTCGGAGGAAACGAGTTCGCGTTTTACAAATATCGTTCCTCAATTCATAAATCGCGTCGTCAAAACACGCGTTATAGCAGAACTCGCCGTATAGTTTTTGGTTCACCGCCAACACGTTTATCCTCGTACCGGATCTCCGTCGTCGCGGAAGTTACGTTCGCTAGACGTTCACAGACGTAAATGGTACGATCTCGAGAGCACGACGTACATTCGGTCCGGATCGAGTGGACTTTCCCAATCGTCTTATAGATTTCTCGAGTTCTTGGGAATGGTACGAATATGTACAATTAATATTATGTTATGTATAGGTATATTGTATGTTTTTTGATAATCGTTAAGTATGGGAGGTGGCGACGAGCACACCGTACCGACGGGTGGAGGAGCGTCGAGTTTGATTTTGTATTAGGCGACGGGGTCGCGGGTATTTACGGAGATACGGCAGAGCGCGACGTCGGCGCCCGCGTACGGCACGAGCGGGAGGAGTAATTTGTGCGGGTAATTGTGGGGTAGTCGAGTATGCCTGTGTGTTTTAGTTGGCAATAGTGTGTAGATATGTTTGTGTATAGGTATACTGTAGAAAGAATGAACTTAGATGAAGTTTGTTTGGGAATTAGTAGAATTTGTAATAGTAGATAATTGTCGATATATTTTGACAGTAATTTGTCCGTTTCAGTTGCGGAGGAGCGCGCCGATACGAGTCGGAGACGGCTCGTACAGTCGGCGCACGAGAGCGGTCCGGACGAAGACATTCGGGAACCGAGGACGAAGACGCTCGTCGACTGCGGACGAAGACGCTCGTCGACTGCGGACGAAGACACCGGTCGACGCGCGAGGAAGATGCTCCGGAACACGGGAAGAACGCCACACTCCCGAGTGCGGGAAGACACTCGTCAACGCAGAAGGAGACACGCATCAATGTCGGGCCGGCGCGATTGTTTTAAAGACGATTTAACGTGTAAAATGAATGTACGTGTTGTTTGTAGTATTGTTTTTAGAGACCGACTCTGCGAAGACGGAGGAAGTCGATACATGTCGAGAATGAATTTATTGAAGATGTTGCCTGTGATCACTAGGTGTTTGCACTAATTTGGGGAGATGATTACGATCGTAGAACGTCACGGAATGCGGCGCGCACGTCATTTGTGGCGGGACGCATCCGTAAATAACGGCAGCATAAATACGAGAGAACGCGGCGGCGGCGGCGGGGAAGTGCGCCTTTTGAAAGTAAAAGAACGGGGGAGATCGGACCGACATAGATGGTGTTGTTGTGGTAACCGATAAGAATGGAGAAATGATGACTATTTGGTGGGTTTTTTAGGACAGAGAGAGTAGTTATATATTAGTGAAGATATAAAGTAAAAGGTGATAAGGATGGTGGTGGGGGGGACAACGAATGATATATTTTGTAGGGTATTAAAGGAATTGACTCGTCAGTGCCGAGTCGGCGTAATTGTGAGAAACGGATGCGACGGGGATTTTAAAGAAGTTGCGGGGAAATTGGCGGAAGCGACGATCGCAATAACCTTTCGACGTGGGACGGACGACGACGAATTTAGTAAATGGCGGTTTAGGAAAGGGTCGTACGTAAAGCGGCGGGTGCGGGCGCGGGCGGATACGGACGACGGTCGATCGGGGTCCGTTTACGGGACGGGAAAGAGGACCGACGGAGAACGGACGGGAATTCGGACGGAGACGAGGCGGCGCACAAACGAAAGTATACCCGCGAGATGCGTAAAGAATGATTTGGAAGTAGATTTAACTAAGAGTCGCGTGTTTGAAATGGCGGGAAGGTTCGACAGGTGTATTAGTTTTACGTAATTGTGGCAGTGCGTTTGAGAGCGGGCAGTCGTGGAGTGCGCGTGGGTACCTATTTTGAGACCGCGACATCTACCGGTAAGGAAATACGTAATGCAGCAGTAATATATTTGTGGGATGAATTTATACTCGTTCACCCGTACTCCGTGTTGCTCCACTCGTGTTAAGGTGTTTATTGTGAAGGCGTTTGTATAATAATAAAATTTGTTGGACGAGTAGGGGAAGGAATACGAGCACAATGTTTAATTTGTAAGCCCTCCCTTTTTTGTCTTTTCCCTCTGCCTCCCCGTCCTCCTCCTCCTTTTTTGACGTGTTTGTCGTGCGGCTTCTTTTCCCTCCGTTTCATTGCAACTCCCTTCGTTTTTCTCCCCCCTACCTGCTTCTGTCCGTCCTCTTCTTCTTCCTGTTTCCTTCTTTTACTCCTCCTCTTCGCCATATGTCTTCCTCGTTTATTCTTTGGCTTGTTCTGCGTCTGTTCCTTCTCCTCCTCTGTTTGATTGTGATTCCCTTGTTGTTTGTCACCCTCCCATTGCTCTTGATCCTGTTGTTACTCCCATTTGTTGGTTGTTTTTGTGTTCCTGTATATGTTTGTTGTTACCAATTGAATTTGTGGTTGTATTACTGCTGCTGTGTGTATGTTGGATTGTATTTATTTGTTGTTATATATATGTTGTGAGTGTGAATTAGATATATTGTGTTGATATTTGACTAAATGTTGTTGTTAAGAAGAGGAGGAGTTCTATTTAGATTTGGAAAGTAACTGTCATCGAGGACGAGAATGCACGTACCGTCTGTAGTTTGAATACGCGGTCGCGTCGGGTTTGGGCAGTTATATATCGGGAAATAGTTGAAGAGTGTAAGTTAATGTTGTGGACTTGTGAAATTGTTGATTGTGGAATAGTTATTGGTTTTAATTTGAAGGGTGTCAATTGCGCACCGGGAATATTTTGTCGGGAGTTTGGCGTCGTCGGAATCGACCGGAACGGCCGGAGTCGCGGAGTTATTTTTTGTCGTCGTAGATTCGTTCGCGGAGTCGTAAAAAATGTGGCGTCGTCGACGAAAGTCAATCGTCCGCGGATCGGTCGTCTTCGAATATTTGTAGACTTGTATATGTTTGTTTGTAATTGATTGAAGTTATTTGTAGTTTGAAAAATGTTTTGACTTGTTGTTGTTGTTGTGATTATAGTATAGTCATTTGTGCAGTTTGAAATTATTTTGGTTTGTGGATTTGGAAAATGTGTTGCATGTATGTGGACTTTGAATAAGTGAGATATTTTGTATATTTTTCATGTTTGTGGACCGAAATGTCGTACCTCTAGTCGGGCAACCTCGGGACCGGACCATGGAAATTGACCCTTTTCCTGGATAGATAGTGACTTGTGCTTATGCTTGGAAGCACTAGCACCACTTTCTCTGCATCACGGCCTCTTTGAAGACATATTGAAGGGTTAAATGTCGTATAGTAGCTCGTGAAATTTGGAGAGTTTTTAATTCTTAACGTATTTTATTGGAACAGAGCCAAAAATAAATAAATAGAAATTTTGACGGCGGAAAGTGGAATTTCGACGGGTTTGAACGGCCCGCCAACGTGCAGACGACTGGCACAATCGCGTAAAGAGCGTCATTTCTCTCGTGTAGAAAAGATTCATTATTGAATGTCTTTTTTATTGAATTACTGTTTGTGTGCAAAATGAGCAATACAATTCATTAATAATACGTAGAATATTAAAACACACGGCATTGTTTTCGTCGATTACAAAACCGGTGACTGACTGGTTCTACATATAAAAGAGAAGAAAATAAGACCTTGGCTGTAGCTGTAGTCAAATGACTATGGTTGTTTTAAGTAATGTTAATAAATGGAACAATAGAAGTAGCTAACGATAACGGTAAAGAAAAAAAAGAGATCGCGCGCGTAAGTGGGCATGCGAAAAGATATCGTCATTACTTTACGTAAGAATACGAAAGCAACACTTATTTACTGTTCATATCTATTGTAATTGATGTTTGTGAATTTGTTTTTATTGAATTAATGTTTGTGTGTGCAAAATTAACACTAGAATTTATTATTAATACGTGGAATATCAGAGGAGACGAGACGAGACGGCTGCCGGCATCGTTTACGTTAAAGCTCACAAAACCAGTGACCGATTGGTTGTACATATAAAACTGAAGAAAATAAGACCCTGATTTTAGCTGCAGTAAAATTAATGTAAAAAAATTAATATGCTCGTTTGAAGTACGTGTAATGTTAAAAAATGGAACAATATAAGTAGTTAACCATAAAAAAAGTGAGTGCGCACATGTGAAAAGATATCGTCATTACTGTACATAAGAATATGAAAGCAACACTTATTTATTGCTGAAGGGTTAAATGTTGTACTCTATAGACAAAGAGAGAGAGAGAGCAGCTGAAGTGCTGGATGTAAACAAACCTTAATTTCCTGGGGTTTTTTTTTTTTAGGGGATTAGCCCACCTGGGCATAAGTCACTGACCCACAATTTAATACTCCTGCTATAATAATGATAATTTGCAAGAAAAAAAAAAAAACTGCCTATGTACCTGTTGGAGAAAGTAAAATTGTTTTGGACCACGGGAGTTTGCGGAGCACAGAATGCCGGACTAGAGAGTTACAACCTGTAGTTGTTTGTGGACTTGAAATTGTTAACCTTTGTGGACTTTGAATAATTGATAATGTTTGTCGACTTTGAATTTGTTTTGCCTTTTGTGGACCGGGAAATTTATGCGTCGGGTCCGAGGACCGGCAATAATTATCGACCCACGCGAACTCGGAATAACGTATTACGCCGGTGGAATCGGACTAATTTTTTATCCCGTGTGGACTTTGAATAATTGATGATGTTTGTGGTCTTTGAATAATTGTGTATTTTGTGTGGAATTGGAATAATTGTTATCCTTTGAAAATGTCTCATTGTTTGTGTATTTTGAATAATTGTCAATTTGTGTGGACTTTGAATAATTTATTGTTTGTGTACTTGGAATAATGATCAATTTGTGTGGACTTTGAATATTTTGTGGAGTTTGAATAATTTATTGTTTGTGTACTTGGAATAATGTTCAATTTATGTGGACTGAATAATTAATGATGTTTGTGGATATTTGAATATTTTGTTATGTTGTGTGGACTTTGAATAATTTATTGTTTGTGTACTTGGAATAATGTTCAATTTATGTGGACTTTGAATATTTTGTGGAGTTTGAATAATTTATTGTTTGTGTACTTGGAATAATGTTCAATTTATGTGGACTGAATAATTAATGATGTTTGTGGATATTTGAATATTTTGTTATGTTGTGTGGACTTTGAATATTTTGTGGAGTTTGAATAATTTATTGTTTGTGTACTTGGAATAATGTTCAATTTATGTGGACTTTGTATAATGATTGTGGACTTTGAATATCCTTTGTGGACTTAGTATTAATTGATCCTGTGTGGACTTTGAATAATTAATATGTATTTGGACTTGTTATTATTTTATCGTTTGTGGACTTTGAATAATTGTCAATGTAGACTGAGTATTTTTGTCATGTTGTGTGGACTTAGAATAATTTGTATCCTCTGTGGACTTGTAATAATTGTTAATGTATGTGGACTTGGAATAATTTATGATGTTTGTGGAGTTAGTATTATTTTAGCCTTTGTGTATGTGTAGTTGGTATGTTTGTGGACTTGTTATTATTTTATCGTTTGTGGATATAGAAAATGTTTTATCGTCTGTGGCTCCGTATTAATGTATTACGTCCGTGGACCGGGAATAATTTTGTATCGTGTGTGGACTTGTAAAAATTTTCATTGTTTGTGGACTTAGATAAATGTTCATATGTTGTGGAGTTAGTATTATTTTAACTTGTGTGGACTTGTAATAATTTTCAATGTTTGTGGACTTAGAATAACTTTTAATGTATGTGGACTTTGAATAATTGTCATCGATTGTGGACTTATTATATTTTTGATGTTTGTGGACTTTGTATTATTTTATTGTTTGTTTTTGTATTTGGAAATATTGTCATTGTTTGTGGAATTAGAAAAATTTTCATATGTTGTGGAGTTAGTATTATTTTATCCTGTGGACTTGTAATAATTTTCAATGTGTGTGGACTTGGTATATTTTTCATATTTTGTGCTTTGAAATATTGTCTTTGTTTGTGGACTTAGTTTTTTTTCCTCTTGTGGAATTGGACTAATTTATGTTTGTGGACTTGGAAAATTTTTTTATCCTTTATGGACTTAGAAAATTTTCATGTTGTGTGGACTTAGAAAATTTTCATGGTGTGTGGACTTAGTATTTTGTTGTTGTTGTGTGGACTTGTTTTTTTTCCTGTGTTGTGGACTTAG